CTCAATTCGGCTGATTGCAGAACAATATGACTGTCTTCGTCTCCTGAAAGTTGATAACAACGAATCTCTTCTTCGAAAACTTTCGCACGAAATAATAGTCAATGTAACTGTGTTATTTAGTAAGGCTCAAATAAACTCAATCAAGCCTGTTATACTTTAGGCAGCTTCAGAGAAATTCTAAACTCTACTTTCTGTATGAGGCAGTATAAAGAAAACATGTTAAGTGATGTCCTCAACATTTTGTTCATTACTTTTATCGTCTAAATTTATATGGTAGTCTAAGTTCTGCTGTCTGAGCAAATAACTTTACGAATGTGTGCTTTACTCAGCTTCAAACTCTTAATAAAATAGGCGTTATGTTACAAACTAATCGAAATCTAATGGTTGCAAGTAGACTAGTTATGTGCATTTAAGTTGGAGCTATTCATCAAAAACTCAATAAATCCGATCTTTGCGCCGTGGCTGGTTTTTGTGCAACAACTACCTAAAGAACGATAAGTGTGGGAGTATAACCAGAGGGGCTTACTAAATAAACCTCTTGAGAATCGCTTCGTAAAACCCAGAAAATCTGTCTAACAAATGTGCTTCGAAAAAGTCGTATTTCATGAGAACTCTTAGTTAAGTAACTAAAGTTGGTCAACCGAGCGACAATGGTGACGACAGATTCATGGAAAGCTTTGTTTGTGGTTCAGTGATGCCACCAAATAAAGAGCTTCCATGAAATGTTTGCTGAAACTGAAAGTTTTTAAAAAATAGAAATCGAAAATATTTTGGGAGGAAGAACTCATCAGGAATTTCAATAATTATTAGAAAATTTATGATGAATTAAGAGGTGATAATGGACTTTCTCATGTTGATATAAATAGGTCCCCTGTCGCATTAAAATTTCGAAATCTTCTTTATTTCCTTATACACCCCAACAGGATTTGGAACCTGATCTTACACATTAATTGGCGACATGTTATCATAATTTTAAACAGCCATTAGTTCCAATAGTTCACAGGAAAGATGTAGCCTTCAAAGGAAGTTAGGTATTTACAAACTCACATTTATGGGGACTTTTTCTCTATGAGGGTAGTTTTGAGACAAAGTAATTGTTCAAAAAATACTGGTAATCTTGAAAACTAGTCTGATTGAAGGTAAGTACAATCTTCTAATGTAATGGCAAATACACATTTGACTCATCTGCAATTCCATTATAAAAGAATTTTTGAAGAAACCTGTATACCTTCCCCATGAACCATTAACGCCTGTAGCTGTGTAGTGGAGTGGTAACATGTGATCACTTTACGCACACTACACAATTTCTAATCCTGTTTGGACTTCTGAGACGACCAAGAGGAGACCGAAATTGTGGTCCACCCCAGATTAAAAAATATTTTTGTAGACAGGGCCAAATGTTGTCCACGAATATCTACAAATAGCCAATGGTCTCCGCTGCACCTCTTGAATTTCTATCCCTAATGCCATGTCCCTTAATTCCTTAGTCCTTAGTCACATTTGGGCCGACCCCAAATGTGATAGTTCTACTTGATTTTAATAGGCTCACTATAGACGTCTCCTCCTGGTTTCCGAATGTTGTCGGTTTGCCACAAAAGAGCACACATTTTGACGAGTGGAATGTAAACAAGTCAGAAGTTGTGATAGGGCGGCAGTGAGTAAAGAGGGTAAAGAGTAGATAGATAGGCCAGGGCAGAAAGATAGTGCGACCGTTTTCGACGGAACGTTTGTCGAGGGAATGACTTGACTTGTCTCTTTGACGAGTTCGAAGGTTGGTGTGGAGAATGGCAAAGCTCACTGATGATGCCGACTACGATGCCGGCGAAACCTTTGGGAATGTACCAAGTGCACTATCTGATGCTGGGAACCATGACGACTTCGGACTAGGTGCGTTCTACTAAGTCGCCCTGACAATAAGACCAAGTTGCGACAACGAGGTCAACCCACTTCTATACATCGAAATGAGACTAGGACTATACCAGAGGCCACACCATCTTGGTTTTCGTATCTTCAATTATCAGATTTAATTTTTGTTCTGTGTGATAGACAGAAGTGAGGTCGAAACTACTATTCAGGTTGGATGAGGCCATTTGGAGACAAGACCAAGTAAGGAATCGTGAAATTATTGAAAAATTATCTTATAAATCGCATTTTAAGTATTGTTTCGAGACTACCAGTAAATCAGTAATATGAGATGCATTCAGATAATTTCGTTTGAGGTGATGAAGAACTAGTAGAAGAATTTTCCCACAATGATATGAGTAGAGCTGACGTTTCCATTGAATTTCACATTGTCTTGCTTTCCCAACTGTTCTCATCAAAGGTGGACTGCAGTTTCGATCTCACCACCCCCAGCGGGAATCGAAAAGTGACATTGCAGAATGTTACTCAACTTGTGAGCTCAGTGTTCTAGCCACATTAATATTCGTTCAACAGGTCTATTAAGTTGATTAAGCCAACTAGACGTTCATGTTTACACATTCCCAGTCATGCTTTTTGTTGGGTCATTAAACCTTGATGACCTCAGACTGATGAATTTAGACGTGTGATTTCGTAGCCTGACTTACACTCGTACAGGAATATAATTTATGACATGAAGCATATCTTCTGTTTCTTAATTAAGTAGAGTTTCAAGACTTCCATTAAATCAGTAATATGAGATGTATTCACCCTATTTCGTTTAATGTGACGAAGGACTGTTAGTAGAATTTTCCCACAAGGATATGAGTAAAGCTGACGTTTCCATTGAATTTCACATTGCCTTGCTGGAGTGGACTGCAGTTTCTACCTCACTTCGGTCTCATCATCACCCCCAGCGGGAGTCGAACTGTGACCGTGCAGAATGGGAGCTTGACACGTTAACTACTCAGCCACATTGCCACAGTACCTTTGGGTCACAGGGCAGATGTGAAATTCAAGGAAGGCCAGGCCTTTTGCCATGTCAGATTCTTTGGTGGGATTGTCGATGAAATAAACGTATATTTGCTATAACAATCGACTACGTTACTTATTTTCCGTATTTAAGTAGAGTTTCGAGACGTAGTCGATTGTTATAGCAAATATACGTTTGCATCATCCACAATCCCACCAAAGAATATGATATGGAAAAAGTCTGGCCTTCCTTAAAATTCACATTTGCCCTGTAACCCAAGAGCATTCGTGCCAATGTGGTCGAGTGGTTAACGTTTAGAGCTTACACGCTGCATTGTCATGGTTAGACTCTTGCTTGCGATGTCGAAACTGTAGTCTATCATGAATTAGAACAACTTTTGGGAAAGCAAGGCTATGTGAAATTCAATGAAAACGTCAGTTCTACTCATATCATTGTGGGAAAATTCTTCTACCAGTCGTTCATCACCTTAATCGAAATTGTGTGAATACATCTTATATCTTATAAGTCTTTATCAGCTTAAGTGACCTACTGCATCAACGCTTCTGTTCAAGAATTACTGTTAATCTCGAAGCCTACGTATACTTTCCAGTTATTATAAACTCACATGCCAAAACTGAATGAGCGTTTCGCCCTGCACAATTGTTTGAGAGGCAAATATAAAAGAAAAAGGGTCAAATTCAAACAAAATATCCTATTTAGGGCCATTTGATGTACCATTTTTTTACTTAATCTTATTGAGAGTGTTAGTCGCTAAACGAGGTGTTTAACTGTACTAGGCAAAGATGATCAGGCAAAATAGCATTTTACTAGAAAACGGAAGGGATCAGAGGTTGGATGGTAAACAGGATTTAACTGGGGTGCCAGATACCAAATTATATAGCTTTCGTGTGTGTATGTGTATGTGCGTTTGTGTGTGTGTAGATAAGATGATGTCCGAATGTTTGATGGAGAAGAATGGTTTAACGAGTTGTGAATAGTGACCAAATGAGGCGCTTAAAAAATGGATAGATGAGCGAACAGCAGAGACTTTCCGGAAAAAATGCTTGTCTTATTACATGACTTTCCATTTAGAAGTTAAAGTAGGCTGAAGCGAATTCATGAAATATTATCACCGGAACCCGAAGAAGGATTGTCGAGGAGGGAATACAGATTAGAATTGTGCGAAGAAGTCATCGGCTCACCGCAGTGCCCAAAAAACCAGCGCTAAGCTTTCTCTTATACCACCGTGAGATACATCCTAAGATTTAAAATCCGTACTCTACGAAATAGACTGAGGAGCCGTACATTATACTAAATCAAGAGGATAGGATAATGTTTAGTATATTTTGCCCTGATGCCATTTTTCACAGTGGTATAGAATCAAGTTTGCCACAGGTACATCGGGGTTGCATGGCGGTGAGCCGATGACTTCTTCGCATAATCCAACAGTGAGACCATTCCAAGAATTATTGCTAACCAACTTTTTCTTCGAAATGTAAAGTCATGTCACATTCTTCGAGACGCTATTTTTCTTTATATAAAAATGTTGGTACACTTGATTTCTGTAGTGAGCGTAAAATTGATGAAATATGTGAGGATGGATAACATGATTTAGCTGATACGGTAGACGGTTTCAAAGCGAGTCAGCCAGAGTGGAAAGATATTCCGCTAGCAGGCGGTGAGTTTCCTTGAGGTTCTCCTCGACAGGGTTTTTGAGCACACCCTTCATCTGTACCATTGTGGAGACTCGAGGTCGTAGCCATCCTGGAGTTGCTTCTCCGTTCCACCTCTCCCTCTTCCGAGCCAAGAGCTTTGGAAAGTTGTCAATCATTGCCGTGAATTGGGTAAACAGTGCGACTCCATTCGTATCATTCGGTTTGTTGGAGCCGTACACGAAGAGCATCGGGACGCGCTGTTCCAACATAACCAGACGGCCGGGCAGGTGTGAAGGTGTGTGTTGAATATGAAATGAAAGGGAGAATTAAATGGGCTCACCAAACCGGCAGAGATCAGTTGTTTGACCCTACAACGGATCAGAGATACATATCTCGCTGATCTCAAAGGCCAGCACAACGCTTTTCCGTCATGGAGAAAATGCTTTTAAATACAAAATATGGGAATAACGCTTTTTTCCTTTACATAAAATTGTTATAAACTTTGCTTAAGTCAGCTTCAAATGTATCGTGCACGTATGTCCTAAAGATACTATTTATCTTAACTCACAAACAAAAAATGACGTCCATCATGAGAGGACAACAGGCTTACAAAAGGCCTGTTCCAGTCGCAATATGATGTTGAGAGGCATATAAAGCCCAGTGAAATTGGCCCAATGAGACTATTTGCACACTTGTCCGTTGGCTCCTGATTGTCATCAGTCCAGTCTAGAAGATCTCGATCACATCGTAGGAATTAAATTCAGGATGAGGCACTGCCCTCGGACGAAAAAGTGGCAATGGTGCTAAATTGATATGACCCTTGGTCATCATAGGAGGTCAAAACGTGATGTAAGGGCTGATACGAAATTCCAGCTAAAAAAGTGAGTAGATACGTACAAATTTGCCTCCTCGACAATCCTATTTGCCTTGATGGTCAGGTCTTTCCTGTGGGCTACTTGCACCCTTGACTGCCTAACGAGATTGGGCGTCGAGTCCCGTTTAAAGTGTTGATGAGGCTCTGGCGAAGTCGAAACCGCAATTCAACATGAATAAAAAAAAACCTTTGGGAGGTCAATGGTATCGTGAGAGCTATTCAGTTAATCCTTAACAATTCTACAATCACTTCTTGTTTAATCTTAAATGACCTAGGATGCGAAGAGAAACTGGGTTTTGATTAATCTCTTGAGATAACATTGTTAGGGAATAAATTTTCAGACGGAGACCATTCAATCATAATAGACAGATTAAGACATTTTCCCATGTCCTAATTTTGCCGTCATGCTTTCTCTCTCGAAAAAATAGCAGAATTAGTAAAGAAGTGGGGCATAACACAATGTTCAAAGAAACCCTCACACTTTCTTCTGTTATGCCATCTTCTAGAGACAACTATTGCCCATTATCGAGATCGGGCTGCTACAAGATTGTTTGCTCAGGTGGTCGATGTTATGTTGGTGAGACATGCCGACCTATTCGACAAAGATTGGGCGAACACAAACATGCTTGTAAAGGAAGCTGGGTCCAACGGTCAGAAGTGGCCGAACACATGGTAGAAACTGGACATGAAATAGAATAGTCTCAAACTAGTAAGTTTGCTGATTATGGTACATCTATGGTTAAAAGAAAGATAAGAGGCTATTGAAATTAATAACTTAGGAAATTCGTTGAATGTGAGCTCATATCTCATTATCTCATCCATACTTGTTTACGGACCTACGCAGTCTCAGTCAAGGCTTTCTCTTGGGTCATTAGGTCTTGAGGTTTAGAACCTGAGATTAAACCTTTGACAACTTTCATTTAGGAACCGTACTACATATACACGCTAACACGCACATATACATATACACATACGCTCGAGCAAAAGTAACAGGACCAGTATGAATGATAATTAATCAAATCACTCTATATCGATGTATCTAGATTTTTATTTTATTTTGCCTCAAGTGAGTCTACATAAGAAGTAAAATAGAGCCGGATAGTGTTCTTGCTTTAATGTTAACGTGAGACTTACAAGAATGACACCCAACTCTGATGATGTCCATCATATGATGGACGAAAGCTCAGCCCGTTTACACCCGAAACGAGGGAGGAGGTCTCGTGGAATGTGTCAACATGAATATAATATAAAAGCCAAACGGCTGCAGTACAACTGTGTTCATCCGTCCTCATCTGGTGAGATTGACCAAAGAATCTCTTCTTCATTCACTTTCATACGAAATGAAAGTCCCCCTAACAATGACCTAGGATTGCCAAAAGCCTATTCCAGATATACTCATATTATATAAACATGTTACAAATATATGTTTACTTTATGCCGTTTCACTAATCTCAGCTAAGGCATATTCATAAACTTCTCTATTTCTAAACAAAAATATTCAGGATGGAATCGTATATCGGCCACACCAGAACTATAATGAGAAGTGCCTAGAAATTATTACTGTTGGGTTGTAGTATGAAGTCCTCGGCGAACCGTCCTATGGCCAAGATCCATCCATGTTGAGCTCTCATCATGGCAAACATCGTAAAATGAGATGTATTCTCCTTATTTCGTGTAAGGTGATGAAGGACTGGTAGTAGAATTTTCCCACAATGATATGAGTTGAGCTGACG